CACACACACACACACACACATCCAGAGAATCCAGCTAAAAAACCACCAGTGCAATAAACATAGATAAAACACCTTGACGCAGCCAGTTATTAAAAAAGGCTTCCTACTTCTATGTAGGAGAATATTTCCTGGAAATATTGTTGCATAAGAAGATATTGTCGAACTTTTTCTGACAGCCACCTGTATAAATCAATCACCTGTACAAACGACCACCCCCATCTCCTCCCATACGAGTATGTTACCTAATAATGCCACTGTGCAAGAATGATGTCCACCTGTCTCAGTTATCCACTTTTCTCCTAGACAATTTTGAAGGCCGTTTTGAGATAATTTCGACAGTATTTAGGAAATTGAAGAAAAAGGAGAGAAAAAAAGGCAGAAAGTCTGGTTGGGATGCTCTCATCTTTGTAATTCGCCTTTTGTTTGTTTTTGTAAAGTGTTTTACGACGCTCGCAACTGCATAGGGTCATATGAGCGCGCGGGACACATCTAATATTTTCAGTTGGTAGGAAATTTTGAATTTTGCCCGGGTGGCTGCCGAAGCCGACTCTAATCGATTTTAGACCACCAAGGGATCTTTAGCGTGCGCAACTTGCACACGGGTCCTCCGAGACTTTTCGCCCTTGTCCTACCAGAAGATCAGGGGTGTGGTTGAAAGACAGCAGTAAGAAGAAGCGAAGGAGTACCAGTAGAAAGGCTGCAGAAAGAATCAAGAGCCCAGAGGAAGGGGCAAAGAAGGTGAGGGGGTGGGGGCAGAAAGAGGAGACAAAAGCAAACGACAGAACGTTGCTAGAGAGCAGGAAATGAGGAGAAAGGAGACAAATTTAGAGAAGAAATTTTTTCGGTCGCTACCCTGATTGGAACCCGGTACCTTTTGAATGAGAGGCAAACACCTTAACCTCTAGGGCACGAGAGCCCCCTAATTCGCCTTACTTGAATTAGCAGCGTCTATGATCATTTCATCCATGGGCCTTGTGTCTTGTGACCGCACTGATGTGGCTAGACCCAGCACCTGAAAAAAAAACCCACAGAATAGATAATAATGTTTTGTAATGGCTTTTGTTTTCTTCTGTCTCGTGTTATTTTTGTTTTGTTTGATTTGGTTCGGTATGGTTTGGTTTGGTTTGGTTTGTTCTGTTCTGAGCATACAAATATGTGAGGCAGCATGGTGGAATTAGGCTCTCGTCAAAATAATCAAAGTGAAGAAACTTGCTTTTTTGGGCAGGTTTGTGAATTTTTATCAATTTTTTTGTTTTTTGGCTCATGACCTTTCATACCCATTAAATAACTCATTTCTGTGTGGATTTTTCTGAAAAACGTTGATTAAAGGCACAAAAAAATGGAAATTTTCAGTTACCACGGACTCTGAAGCAAAGGAAATAACTGATCTTTGGCCGCCATTTTCTCACTAATTTTACCTCTGAAAACAAGTGACCCCCACCTCCTTCTTTCGCAAATGTCTCGACTTGTATTCAAGATAAATGGATATTTTTTTCATCCAAATAAAAACTGGTGAAAAAGCTTTAAGATGATACCAATAACTCTACAAGCCCAAAAATTGACAAGAGCCTGATTCCACCACGCTGCCTCACATATGTAGTTTATTTTGCCTTTCTTTGCTGTTAATGTAACTGTTGATATTTTATTTGTTGTCGTTATTGTTGGTTGTGGTGGTGGTCGTGGTGGTGGTAGTGTTGATGGTGGTAGTAAGGTTTTACTCCTGCTATAGCTCATCATCATCATTATCACCATAATCATCATCCATCATCCTTATCATCATTGTTTATAAAAGCAAAGCAGCTAAGGAGAGTCTTGATAGATTTACAAGCACAAATATGAATAAAACTGTTTAATTTAGTTTATTAAAAACTTCTCGACGATTCGCCATGTAGGCTTCATCATCATCATCATCATCATCATCATCATCATCATCATCATCATCATCATCATCATCATCATCATCACCATCATCATCATCATCATCAATACTACTGTGACAACAGGACAAAACATCTCAAATTATCAATTGAACATAAGGCGCTGTAGTCGTTAAACAAAAGTTTCGTAGACCTAGATTAGATGATCACGCTTCACTTTCAGCACGACTCCTACCCAGGGATCTTTTTAAAAATCTCTTGCAAAATTGTATCACCGTCTCTGGTGTAGCACTTAGATGCCTCGTTGTCGCACGCATTTGACGAACGTTTGATTCCCGAGTGGTAAGACTTTTATTGAGGTATTTTGTTCTTTCTGTGGGGATACTATGCAGCTCTCAGCCCAGCTGGGCCCAGACAACAGGGTCGGAAGCCCACCTCTGATACGATCTAAATTACGTCCATGGAGGCTTTAAAATGCCTTATAAAAATACAACATCAGGAATTTTACTTTCCCTCTCAGGATACATTTCTCTGAGTAGAATAGTCATCTAAAAACGAAAATATGTGAGTGGAACCGTGTAAACAATTGGCCCATGGAGGATGAAATCAAGATGTAACCTTTGTTGTCCTTTGTGTTCTCGTTGTTCTGTTTGTTTGTTTATTTGCTTGTTTGTTTGTTCATATAGCTGTCTGTGGTGTTTTCTGTTCTGTTTTTAAGGGAGGGTCGATGTTTTCTTTTTTACATGTATGTTGTTGTTTGTTTTTGTTTTATCAATACAGAACCCCAATCGACACAATTTAGGTCATTTAGGAGGCGGGCTTCTATGTAAGAAGTATGAATGTAACGCCCCATAGAAAGACAGAGTGATACTCGACAAAAAAAATTCTACCACACAGGAGTTTTCTGCGTGCTTTGCTGAAGCGCCTAACTGCTACACAACAAAGATACTATGACAGCAGAGCTTTTTGAGTAGATTACCAAGGAAAACAATTGCAGACGACAACTTACGACGAATATACGAAAGCGATAGGCAAAGTTCACTGGACACACTATGCGGAAAGAAGCATTGGAAAATATTGTAACAAAGGACAAACTGGATGTCAAGAAAAGCAGAGGCAGACAGAGGGAAAAGGCACTGGACAGGTTGACAACATGGCTGGGAACAGCAAGAACGACAGACACCATTACTGCAACGCAAGACAGAGTGAAATGGAGGTCCATGATGGCCCACGCCATTCGGCAAAGCAGCGATTGATGATGACAAGCAAGAATAACAAGATATAATTTTGCCGCGTACACTTACCAGCAGCGCTGACGCCACAAATATTTCAGCGCGCATGCTTCTGTATGTAGAAGGTCAACGTTCGTCTCAAAGTGATTCTGTTTTATAACTCTGAAGTAAAGAAAGGAAAATGTGGAAGTTGTTATCTATTGCAATAAAACATACTTAATTGTTAGTAATTTCTATTCAATGTGATAATGATAAATAATGGATAGCATTTTTTAAGTGCAAATACCCACCCAACAGTAACTCTATGCGTTTTATTACCTATAATATTAAACAGTTATGTCCATTCGAAAACATACATTTGCATACAAAGTAAACGAAAAAAAAATAGTTCTATTTAGATTGTAACTTGGAAATTTAAAATTGAATTAGATGAGTAAACATGCTTGTTTATAATGTTGGTTCCCTTGGTAGTTCATGCTTATAGAATATTTCCTTTACGCCACAAACAAATCGCTACCTTAGAATTAAAAAGCTCTACCCGACTTTTGTGGCCGTTTTGAGTTACTAAGACCATGAGGTTGGAGAGTAAATAAATGTTCTATCTACTCTATCAAAATCGTAAGATTATTTGGAGCCGGTATCAAGATATTGATTGACTTGCTTTCGAAAAAGCTTAACATGTTGAAACTCAAACTTGTTAAACGTTAAATATCTTTAAAAAAAATAGGTAGGGAACAGATAGAACTTGGTTTGTTGTTTTGTTTTTGTAAAGTGTTTTACGGTGCTCGCAACTGCATACGGTCATATGAGCGTGCGGGACACATCTAATATTTTCAGTTGGTAGGAAATTTTGAATTTTGCCCGAGTGACTGCCGAAGCCTATTCTTATCGATTTCAGACCACCAAGGGATCTTTAACGTGCGCAACTTGCACACTGGCCCTCCGAGATTTTTCGCCCTTG